AGTTCCATGCATGTTTGTGTGCAACTTTACAATTATTGCTACAAAGATTGGTGATATACTGTTGGTCTTTGTGAATGCTGTTTATCTGCATTAAAGGAGCAGTGTGTAAAATCTAGAGGTGTTTATTAGCAGAAATGGGCTATGATATGCATAATTATTTGTTCAGTGATGTGTAATCACTAGAAAATAAGAATTGTTGCATTTCCTTTAGCTTAGAATGAGCTTTTTTTATATCTACATAGGAGCTGGTCCCCTATCATGGAGGCCGCCATGTTGGGCTGCCGTGGCTTTTACAGTAGCCCAGAGCAGACAAACCACACGCTGACTCTAGAGCGTTTTCACGTTGAAGTAGCAGCTTGGATTTGGTGATGCTCGGAAAACGAAGAAGAGGTAATGTTAGAAATAAGATGAAGTATTGTCATGAGTTTAAGATCTATAATTTAAAGAAATGAATGGCAGTACTTTAAGACAAGGAAAAGGAAGCTTGTGAATCCCCGTTGTCAAAGAAGCAAAGACATGAAGAAATGAGATAATTGATGGCACAAGGATCAATATTGGTGCAACCTTTCCCAGATGAAAATCCTTGATGAGGCACAAATTTTTCCATAATCATGCTGAAGTTGCCTGTTTTCTGTAAGTTATCCTAACAAGTTAACCTAAATGCAAGCTTTTGTTTGGCCAGTGTTGGGTCACTGTGGTCAGGTGAGCTGCCGTTAGCTTTTGCTTGGTCGAGTCAATCGTACTTGTATTTCATGCACACAGTTTGTCCTGCATGTACAGTAATCGCTGGGAAACGGCTGTGAAACACTATGTATGAGAGCTTTGCTGAACATTGTGATCTGCAACCTCACCACTAGATGTCACTAAATCTCACACATCGCACCTTTAAACACACCCTTATTCCATAAGCAAACATTTCATCACCTTGAACAGACCCTCCCTGCTCTCTCCACCCTGTTCTGCCTCTTTAGGGCAGTTTTCCATCAGTTAAAAGGTTTCTTTTAAACTGAGTCTTCTCAGATTAGGTACATCTCCTTTGTCTGGATTTGACAGAGGATATTAAAAAAAGGGATCACCACTTTTTGGAACCAACATGTGGTCTTAGTGCCAACAGTAGGCTGTTAACACAGCTGTTCTTTTAATATAAGTGATAATATCACTCCATCCTGC